AAAAAAAGAAGTTACCAGAAAATCAAAGGTCATTCATACAAACCATTCACATTCATCACCTGATTTTCAGAACTTATCAAATACTTTTCTCCTTCCCTCCACGCCAGGGAGAGTGCCATGGAGCAAATCTTACTTCCACACTGATGTCTTTAAGGCAGTGATTTCACTCCTTACTTTCATTCTTTTAGATGCTGACACAAAGCTCATGATTTGAGGGTTCCAGAGTCTTTTGTTTGTTTCTTTCTCTGGGCATCCCACAATAAACTCTCATGTTTTCTTACAAATATTTAAATGTATATTTACTTTTCAGTTACAATAAAATCCTCTCTCAAATATTCACATTTAAAATATTCCATCCACACACTGATCTGTATTTCCCAATTCTGAGCTAATGTTGCCCTCCCACATTCCCTGTGCAGCAGTAAATATATCTGGGTTTATGACAAAGTAGTTGGTTTTCTATTATGCCCTTGCTTACTTCTTTCAAATATATAATCTTAAATTTAAAATTACAAATTTATTCTGAGACAAGAATTCTCAGTTAATAAAGAAATTACACTTTGTCCTCAGTAAGTTGCTACAAGAATACCATCTGCAATTGATGCTTTGATACTTCTCACTACTCCGGCTCAAAGTTTTAATTTTGATAAAACATGTTGCTTTCACTAAATGGTTCAGTTTCTGGCAAGTGACAAAAACTGCTTTATAACAAGTAAAAGAGTGAAGAAAAAATACCGTATACCACCCATAGCCATTTACATGGACTCATCATTATCACCATCACTTTTATTATTAAACAAGCAGCACAGTGAAAATATCTCCTCTGGCAAGTTACCAAGATTGTTTTGACCAAGTCAAAGAAATTGTTATTTCCCTCTACTTCCCTTCTTTCTCAGGGAGATGGGGCTCCCCACTTCAAAAAAAATATAGATATATAGGAACAAGTACAATAGAAGAAAAAAAATCATCGAGATGATTAGAGGTCTGAAACACAAGACGCAGGCAGGAAGGCTGAGAGCTGTCAGTCTTGAGCAGCATAAAGAGCAAGTGAACTGTTACTGCTGTCTCAAGCTAACAGAAGGCTGTAAGAGGGAAACAGATTCTCCTTGGAGGTCCACAACGAGCAACAGACACAAGTTGCAACAAGAGATACTCCAGGAAGATGCTATGAAAAAAATTCACCACAATGGTAACAAACATGGGAACAGGTTGTTCATCCATACACCTCCTACTCCAGGTATATCTCAAACTCAGCAGGACAAAGCCCCAGGCAACATGAACTAGGCTCTTTCTGCTTTTAGAAAGGTGATTGGACAGAATGGACCTCCAGAGATCCCTTCCAAACTAAATTCCGTAAGTCAAGAACATGTCTCTGACGTCTCCAAACATCCTGAAAAGGTTTTTTATTCTCCATGTATAGTCTTTACTTCATGTTACTACTCTCTATTTTTCCTACGCTCTCAAGCTAGATTCTCTTCCACTTCTTTATTCTTGTATTATTGTTTGTTTCTTGCTTTCACACTTCCATAACATCTTCAGTTATTTCAATTGCTTCAATACGTATTCAGAATCAACATCATTTATAACTTCTATGCAAACATCTGCTAAAGCTTCAAATCCATGCTATTATGTTCTGTATTCCTTTTTCTAGTAGAAATTCTTCAATGGATTATTTACATACACGTAAGACTTCCTCTTCTGGATCAACACTTAAATACTTTTGCCACATCAGCTGGCAAAATGCAGCAACTGAATACTTGAGTACTTCAATCTGATTTTCATTAATCAGAATAAAATTCACTGAAAGCATCATTGAACATTCTGGTCCCTGCTTCCACAACTAGATACTACTTCTTACACAATGACTTCAATGAAAACAGTGCATAAGCAGACCCTTCAGAGTGGAAACCAGCTCATTCTTTGCATGCCATCATTTGGCTACATCATCATTTGCAGCTTCTTATCTTTCTGGTGTTAGAAACAAAGCTTTAGAAATAGTCAAGGACTGTTCCCAAATTGAGTCTAGCAAATAGCTTCTTGATTCTACTTTAGAAAGCATGGTATTAAATCTGTTCAAGACTGACAAGTTGTATTGGGTTTTCTGTGAGGGGTTTTTGGTTGTGTCTTTGGTAATGGGGGAAGGGCTACAGAGATGGCCCTTTAAGAAGCTAACCGAAAAGCTCCCCCTTTGCCTTTGTCAGCCCCACCTCTGACCAGGGCCAAGCCAATCAGCGCCCCTGCGAATTCATGTATTTAAGTGGTGTGCAGGGTATGCCTCGCCCGCTCGCTGGCACCAGCCCTGACCAGCGCAGCCCCAGGTGCGGGTGGCGCGGCCCCGGCCCTGCCAGGCTGGGCTTGGCTGGACCCAACCACAACTTAAGCTTAAGCCCCACTGCAGCTTCATCTCGAAAAAGAGAGAGAGAGAGCCAGGATCTCCATAACCTTTGGAGGAGACCTGCAGCGGAGAAAGGAGTGGGGCCCGAGGAGAACAACATTAAAGAACACCAAGGTCGGTTTTGAAGGAAAGAAAGGAGAGGGAGGAGGAGGAGGACGCAGAACCCAGGTTTCCCCTTTGCAACCTGTGGCGAAAGCTGGGTCGACTGGTTGTGTGTGAGGGAACTGTGACCATGGGCAGACCCAGATTGGAGTTTTGTGGACTTGGGCTGAAGCAGTTTTGTGTGTGAGGGAAACTGCAGCTGGGGGCAGACCCATATTGGACTTTTGAGGACTTTTTCCCCTATGGAAAGGGGGCCACGTGGAAGCAGAGACACTGGCCTTAGTTGGTTTTTTCCTACCCCTTTAAGAAGCACGTGGTGTGAAGATCGACCGCAAACCCCCACTCTGATTCCCCTGCACCTCAAGGCAAAGGGGTAAGAGGAAGATGAAGGAACCAGGAACAAAAGCTGAGCCCAGGAAGAAGGGAGGGGTGGGGGGAAGGTGTTTTGATTTTAAGATCTGGTTGTATCTCCCATTGTTCAACTCTGATGTTGGTAACAAATTAAAATTGCTTTTGTTTTTTTATTCCTTATGACGAGCCCATGTTTTGCCTGTGACCTGTTTAAGTGGTGAGAGTCCTTATTTTGACTAGCCCTTTTCTGGGGCATTGTGCTCAGTTATGCACTGGCCCTAAACCACAACACAAGTGAACAAAAACTGGATGTCTCAAATCTCTTTGGCAAGTTTAGTTCTAATCAATAAGTTATGTATAAGCTACAAAGAAGCATCCCCCCTCTCCATGGTCATGAGAGCAAAAGCAGTTACTGTGCTGTCCTCCGTACTGGAATTCATGCTCTGAAGAGACACTGAGATGCCCGGTGCTGTCTACTTATGTGTTTAAGCATTCATGCAGATTTCTGTAAACTACTGACTTGAATAAAGATGAAACTGAGTTCCATGTTGCCCTTCAGACACCTACTTGCTGTTCTAAATAAAATCTTTAGTGTCTCCATCTCCTTTGAAAAATTAAGATGATGGCACACTTATATCACCCATGCGATATGAGAGAGATTTCAAAACATAATAGATTAAGCAGTAAGCGTCACCTGTAAAAAAAAAATAAATTTGTCCCTGCAGGCTATAGTCTTTTAATGCCCCCTCTCCCTGCACCAGTCCATTTGGTATAAGAGTATACTTCACTGATTTTTTTCAACTGTAGATCAAATAACTCTCTTCAATTATGTTTTTTCAAAACAACATCTTTCAACCCATTCAGTTAAACTTTGAAGGGATGTTAATCTTGTTAACTCTAATGTTCTCGCTGTCTGTGGAGATTCACAATTCTCTTCTGAGCCATTAACACATTTGGCCTGAGCATCATCTCATCTCCCAAATTTTACTGTTTAGTTACACATAGGAAACAGTATTTCCTCCAGTGGCTTTTAAACTTTCCAACCTATTAATTCAGGGAACGTTCTTGGGAATTCTCCTAACATTATAAAGGGACCACAATTATCTTTTAGTCTTATTCTAACAGATTCAAGCAAAAATGTCTATGGTCTGTGAGGTTTTCTTGCCTTTTTACCTTTGTACAACGTTCTTAATATTATTAAGTATCAACAGTAATAAACTATAACACTCAACTCAGTAGAAATACTGTTAGAGCACAAAAAGCCTCTTTTGACAAAAGCAAGACAAAGTTCTTGGTTATAATAAAAAAAAATACACACTAAAGCATACAAAAAAATGGACAAACTTGAGAATGCCATACACGATGTTAAATAAAAATATCAAGGTAAAAATTGTAAAAAGCTAAAAATATAATAATGCCTTTTTCAATTTGAAAAGGAATTAATCATTGAACCCCTTTGGCTGCCTCAAAGTATTAAGTCTCTGATACCAATCAAGAACAGGGAAAAAAAATGTGTGAAGAAATAACAGTGGAAATATAGGCAGTTAATATATGGGGCAGAACATCCTAAACTACTAGTAAGACGATTTACTTCCAGGAATGGAGAAAAGGTTTAAAGCCAGGAAAAACTTTCAATTATTTTGCTCTTCCACAAGGCTTTAAAAGCTGAAGAAGCTAAGCAAAATATGAAAGGAGATCAATGTTGCTAGAGGATTATCAGAAAGTAAAAAATTTCATTAAAAGACTCTCTTCCTTCATGGAGTCAACACACTTCAATTATCATATACATTCTGAGTATATGCATGTCTATACATCATCTTCCGGACTCTAGATTAGGTAACATTATTTTATGAAGGCATTCTGACAGATTTTTATATATTTTTTTTTAATGTGACTGATCTGGAAGCATTTCTTGGGTTTTTATTGGTAAGTTTTTCCTTATAGGTCACATAATTTTTGTCAACCTTTAAGTAAAATAGTTCAACATTACTGCTTGAAGCAATCTGGCATTTTCAAACCTTTTTCTTCACACATTTTACTTTGAAATCACAATATTAATGTTATATTTTGTATTTTTTTCATACAGTATTTAAGCCCTTAGAACTTTAGGGGTATCTCTAAAACCTGAAAATTAAAGGAATCAATATCTTACCCCTTTTTTGACAACAAAAGGTAAGTTCTAATTTGCAAAGCATATCAGCATTCTCATACTTGTCCTCTTCCGCCTTAACCCAAAAACAGGATTCTGTCATTTCCTGAGGCCTGATCTAGAAGCAAGAGACAAAACAAAATTTAATTAATCAACTTATTTTGATATTCCTCAGAGACTCTGTAGAGTCTAAAGTAAATGAAATACTTTAAAGCTCCATAAAATGCATGAACTCTTGGTATATAGCTCATCTTCAGAATTGTTAATATATTTCAGATTGAAGATGATAATGCCTAAAGTACATGCTTTTGGACAAACTGATTCTAACACTATAAAGTAATATAGACAACATACTTTGCCAACCAAGGTCTAAATGTCAAATTATGTTTGTTCTAGATTTAAAACTTGGGTAAACTTTAAATAGTCTCTGATGTACAGCAATCTGATGTACTCAATGTAGTTTAACTAGATATTAAGTACCTTACTTCTTAGACTGTAGCTTTGACTGCTTCACAAAACTCTGGAAATATTTTTTTACTGACTTATATTCGTCTAAATAATAATAGTTTCCAAAACTCAGTGGATTGATAGTCCTGGTATACTTGATCGTGTCACAATGGAGAAAAAAAAATATATATACGGCCTCTATTTTTTCAACCATTGAACTTACATATATAGATTTACACTAAGGACAAACAAAGAGACCTACAATGCTTCTTCCCACAGTCCAGGCTAGATATAGATGTAAGACACTTTTTTGGAAACTGTATAGCTATCAGTACAGTGCAGTGACTGATCCCATGTGAACAGTCTGCCAGAAGACAAGGCACAGTAGCACACAGGAAGCATGCTGGTATCGAGGCTCTATTATTCTAGACCAAAAGTGACTTCTTCAAGCATCTCAGAAAGTCAATGGATACTTGCTTAAGTGATTCATGAGTCAGTGAAACACAGTTTTTGGAAAAGAATGAAAATTAAAGGCAGAAAGTATTCATAACTCACAAAATCTTAACTAATATATCAACTGCTCTATATAGTCTTACTCTTGACAATCTATTTACCCTAAGCTCTATCTAAGATTTTACATCAAGCATTTGCCTTTAATCAGTACTACCTTGGACCAGTTGAGTCTTTTCATAGTAACCTCAGGTCTGAACTCTTTTTTAGGCTTCATTCCAAATGGCAAAGTACATGAAGGTGGAGACCACTGTGCTCCAGGCACACCTGGTAGAGGCGGTGGTGGAGGAGCACCACCAAAAGCCAGAGGAATTCCCAAGCCATTCAAAAGTGGAGGAGGAGGAGGGGGAGGTGGTGGTGGTGGTGGAATTGCTCCATTCAAAGGCAGCGGTGGAGGAGGAGGCAGTTGATGTGGTCCTGCAGCTTCTGGTTGAACGACACATGCATTTCCAGTTGTTGATGGCAGAAAACCAGGTGGCAAGGAGCCATACTGACAAAGAAAATATTCTTATTCAGTTTTACTTTTTTAAATCAACAGAATGCCATAATAATCATAGTTTATACATTAAATCCAGCAAAGTTAGTGATTTTTTTTCTTTTATGAGACAATCAAATATGAATTATAATAAGGCCAACATGCTTTCCATGTCATAATTGGAAGCCTCAATATTTGAAGCATTCAGACAAAGACATGCACATCAAAAAAATGAAAAACTGAAATCCTATATCCCATTTGTCATATTTCACTGATCATGAGCTAAGAAGCATCTGATTAGTATATCTTGATGAAATTTTATCCAGACTACCACATTACCATGTTAAAAAAATAACATTCTAGTCTGTAGTTTTCTAACTTATCCTACAGATTACAGAGAAATAGTCCAGGGACATAACATTTTTTCAGAAGGAAATAGCTGAAAAAATCAATAAATATAAATAAGATAACTTTCAAATAAGTAAATGCACAATAGTATTATTGTTTTGAACTTCTGAACATACACAGTGTTTGACAAGAAGACACTGAACAGAAGAACAACAAAAGAAATAAATGAACAAATACCAAATACAACAAAAGAGTAAAGGAACAAGATCAGGAAAAAACAATCATAACAGGCAAAAGAAGCCAAGCTAAGTAGCAACTGAGGCTGCATAGAAACCAAAGGTTCCTATTAAGATGGATTTGATTACTAAGTTGCAGTAATCAATTACCTGAAATTTACAAAACATTTGAAGTAACATTAACAGTGAGATAATTCATACTATGATCGTTTATGAGTAGAATATGTATGTTATAATACTGCATCCAGCTTTGGAGTCCCCAGCACAAAAAGGACATTGAAGTGCAGGAGCTTGTGCAGAGGAGGGCCAAGAAGATGATCAGAGGGCTGGAGCACCTGTCCTATGAAGACAGGCTGAGAGAGTTGGGGTTGTTCAGCCTGGAGAAGAGAAGGCTCTGGGGGACCTTACAGAGACTGTGCAATACCTGAAAAGTGCCTATAAGAAATCTGGGGAAGAGCTGTTCACTAGGGCATGTAACGATAGGATGAGGGGTAATGGTATTAAACTAGAAAAGGCTAGATTTAGGTTGGGTATTAGGAAAAAGTTTTTTCAAGATGAGGGTGGTAGATCACTGGAACAGGTTGCCCAGAGAGGTGGTGGAAGCCCCATCCCTGGAGATATTCAAGGTCAGGCTTGATGGGGCTTTGAGCAACCTGATCTAGTAACATTGTCCCTGCTTACTGCAGGGGGGCTGGACTGGATGATCTTTAAAGGTCTCTTCTGACCTAATACATTCTATGATTCTATTCTATGATTCTACGCTCACTGCCTGCACATTAAAAAAGCTATATTTAATATAGTGGACATAAGAAAAAGTAAAATAAAGGAAAGAAAACCTATTTCATTCACAGAAAGTATTTATGTTTTCAAAATACACACATAAAAATACTTTCTTAATGAATGATACATAGCTGCTGCTAAAATTACCTTTTTTGAAAGCAAAAACTTTTGTAAGAGCTTTTTTAAAGCCTGTTTAACTCTGACATTAATTATGACCAGAAACTTGAATTAGAATTATGATTTTAAACAGACCGAAGCAGAGCTAATTTTCCTCAAAAGGAAAATTAAACAAGCTCAAAAGCATTAAAAAACCTTTCTGTGATCAAAAGATATTTTATCAACTTCCTATATGCATGTCTTCCCAGTGCCTTTCATCATTTTTAGATTGTGCCTCTAATTCCAGGAAATTAGAAACAAGAAAAATGACATAGTCACATAGGTACACACAGGCTTTAGAGCTGAAGCAGCTACAGGTTAACTCAAGCATTACTGTCAAAAATCTCAACTACTTCTCTCCATCACATTTTTAAAGTATCTATTTATGCTTGAAAATTGAAAAATTATCAGGAAACGTTCTTATCCAGCCACAGGTTACTTCTTTCACTGCTGAATATCCATAGTAAGGCTTTAGCAAAGTACACTGCATAATGAATAATTTCCTGTGGAAGGATAAGGATCATAGAGATGAACGCTAAACTAAAAGCATAAGACTTATTACCCTATGCGGTTAATTACTTTGGAAATATATGACACTGAAAGCAAAACCCAAATGAAACATAAGAAACTAGTTTAATTAACAGAGTTCAGACATAAAAAAGATCATCTGGGAACTCAAATAGCTAATTAATGTCACACTACAATTCTTTATATAAAACAGAATTAAAGGAAATGAACAGTCAACAATAATCGATAACAGGATTCTTTGAAAAAAAAAAAAACAAAACCTCAACTGTAATATCAGAATCTGCAAAAGACGCAAAATGAAGTCCACTTCAAAAACAATACTCCATATATTCATGTAAACTGTCTCATACCTGTGATTTAAAAACTTGTAATTCTGCTTCAAGTTCATTGATTCTTTCCTCTTTTTTTTGCAGCAGGGCCTGGGTCTCCTGATGAACTACAAAATCTTTTTCAAACTAAAAAGTAAAAAAAAAAAAAATTAAAAATTGTTGGTACTTCTTGTTCTGCATAGTTGCCCTAGATTCCAATTTTTCCTTTTGTGTTTCTCAAAACTCCCATGTTAACAGTACTAAGGACACATACAACATATCCGCTATTCTAACTTGCACGAATCCACTGAATGTAAGTACCAGCTCTATTACCACTATGAGTCTTTACTATATGAAATGGCATTAAGTACTTAAAGTATTTTAAGTTGGAATTAGACTGAGTAGCTTGAAAAACTGATGTACAGTCATACAGAGTCTGTAGATGCAAATAAATCAATTCTTATTCCCCCTCCAGTTTATCTTGTTGAAGAAACCGATAGCTGTTCAAATAAATATTCTGTTGATTTTGGGGAGATTTGTAAACTAAACCTTACAATTAATAGTAGAAAGACTCTCAATTAAGGTTAACTACTTTATACCACCTTTCTCTGCTTCTCAGTCCACAAGAAACATCCAAATTCCTACTTAAGCATAAGAACTAATAGTAATCTGAAGTCAAAAATCATGCCACTTCCAGTTACACTGTTTCTGAAGCTATCACTCAATGCCCTGTGTCCATCTTATGATCATATAACTTAAAAATTACTTACTTTTCTGGAAAGTTCAGAAGCCCTCTCTTCACATTCTTCTAATCTTGCTTTATCTACACAAATGTCTTGAAAAAATAAACAAACAAACACTTGCACATATACAGGGAACACAAGATTCTTAATCACATGTACAGTATGAACTTGGTTTTTGGAACATATAAAGAAGTATGATACTGTGATCATTTCCAAGCATAGTACTTACCCACTAAATGGCTGAAATCTACATCTAATCTTTTACGATACGTGAAATCTGGGTCTGTTCCACTTCGATGTAACACTATCTGTGACACACACTCTTCAATTAATTTGAAATACTGTGGACTAAAGACAGAGATTAATTATTTCACAGCATATTTATTTATTAACAGATACTTAGAATCCTTCCTACGAACAAAATAAGGTCAAAAGACTTGGGCTCACTTATTTCCATAGAAGGACAGATGCAAAGCCCAAAAGCCTCAAAGGACAACTAAATCTTATTATTACACAAGAACAGCTTGCACAAAGCCTGAAAAAGCAGTGGAAAAAGCTAAATCATTCTTCTATTATGTCATCTTTCTCCCTGTGGAAATACAGGAAGGAAGGACTCTCTCCTGCTTCCTCTCAGTCAAGAAAATGCTTTTCCTTCAATTTTATCCCTTCTGGTTTTGTGACTTTTGTAACTATGGATGCACTGCAGCACTGCTTCAGTAAGAGGAATGAAAACCACCTCGTTCTAAAATGCTGGGGTGGCAGAGGGGTTAAACAACTGGGTCACTTGCCCAGAACATGCAAGTTGTGAACTCATTTCGGATGGAAGAGGTCTAAAACAGGTGTACTCATGTCAGGCAAGCACTCTTAACCTTTAAGAGTACATCTGTATTAGATCTTGCCTAAAATGCAAGGTTTTGCAGAATGCTATGCAGAAAACAGATGGCTTTCCTTCCCTGTTCAGTTCGTATCTGGTTCCTCCAGTGTTGCCTAAAAAGCCACACAAGTAGATTTTAGAAAGGGAAGTATTTGGCAACTTCAAACATCTAAGATTTTTTAAACTATTTCCTTCTAATTTATCTGACTAATTTTCCAAGAGACACTAACTTGTTCACACTGACCTATAATGTATACTGAGAATATTAAATTCCCATCCAAAAGGTATTTTAAATTAAGCTTATGTTCAGATTTCTGTATAAAGTGCACCTCTGTGCATACTTCTTTTTGTCCTTTGACTCAGATACACCACAAAATTACAGTGCTATTACCATGATTTATAACCAGTTAAGAGACCTGTACTGATCACTTACAGTGAGTTTCAGATCTCAACAAAAATATATATTTATATATAAAATTGTATCCTAAGCACAAGAGATGAAAACATAGATGGCATTCTTATTTAAAGCTGATACTTTTGAACATGAGTTCACAAAGGAATATTTATGAATTGCAATCCACACAGAAAATACTGAACTGTATATATCAATTAATTTCTACCAATTACTAAATGACAACAAACTCCATAATTAACATTTAACATAGCATCAAACATACCGTATAAAATAGTCATTTCTTATCAGCAAAAGGTGTTGGAGAATAGAAAGAAAATATCCTTCAGCGCTAGTGTCCTTAACTGTATTCCACACCATGTTGTAAACATCATTTACTTCAGTAAAAGCATTAAGGAGAGTAATAGCAAGGAAAAAAATATTGCAGACAAATGTTGACTGAAAACTTTTTTAAACGGAAGTTATACCAGAAATATGTCCATTATACACTTTATTTTGTTCGTGTTCCTCTTGCTGATATCAAAAGGATATTCTAGTTCAGATCTAATATCTTCTAAACGATGAGAGAACTCGATCATGTCTTCTTCCTTATGCTCATTGAACACTTTGAGCTGAATATCTAGTGCTTCATTCTTTATACATTTCAATTGCTGCAAAGAAGGAACAGTAAAAAGGCTTGCAAAATTAGCATTTCCATATGTAAATAAACCTTATCGTTTTAATAACTTCCGTAAGTCTATGTTATTTAAAGGTTTAAAATTACAAGAACACACGATTTAAGTTAAATATTCAAAAGGTAAACCATGGCTTCAGTCTGGCTTGACAAGTGTGCGCACAACAGTCTGTCACATGTTGTAAATCCAAGTCCTAAAATGCTGAGGAATCAGCATAAGGTTCAGAGAGCACTCTTCACCTTTCCATTCTTATTTTAAGACTGATTCTCATATCTAACAGCTCATGCCTAGATTTAATAAAATGCCTCTGAGAATTATTTATTAAACCTGTTCTCCTATTCCCACTCTAAGCTCAAATAGTCCAATAACTTAAATAGTAATGCAAAAAGAGACTACAAGACACTTACTGGCAATATCTCTTTCAATCCACTGCGCATAAATTCATTTCTGATGTGAAGCCTAAAATCCAAATCATCAGGAGATGTAACAAGAGCATTGATGAGCTGCATGCAAGCTACCTATAACAGAGGAAATATTAAACTACTTTATTTCTTAGATTTCAATATGCATCACAGTCAAAATTACAGAACAAAATACTAATTAGACATTAGGTCATGTCTAACTGTCAATCTACCGTAATCTTGTAATTAAGATACTTAAATTTCTTATCAACCACATGAGCTACAGACAACAGCTATTAGTTCACAAATTTCCATAAAAATGAAGTATTGCTCACTCCATTGAATTTTGTCATTTTTCAAAAACAGCAAATTCCTTTAGTAAATGAACTTTAGCATACAGTAAATACCTTGGTAAGCATAATTCTCATCATATAAAAATCAATATACATATCATTCAAAGTAATTAATTTACATATGGTCACTAGAAGAGCTGAATGGCCAAGTAACTTTGATATAGACTGTAAGAAGCACAACAGTACTCATTAGGTTTACAAAAGGAACATGGTAAGATTAAATAACAGACTACGACCATGATCATACATTTATCCTTGTGGAAGGATCATTAGTATGAAAGTAGTTTCATATATTAGTGTAGCTAAACTGTTAGGAGGGAGCATGGCAGTCAGCATAACTTAGGCCTACTTGACAGCAGTGTTAGTATACATAGGTGAACTTTAAATAACACTATAAGAGAAGGGAGCAGCTTAGTTATAGGAACAGAAATGTAACAAGAGTAAACAACCTGTTAATCAGCATAAGAGATATGAACCTGTTGAGAAAACAGAGTTAATCAGACTGTGAGCTCCAGCAGTGGTTGGGGACCAAGTGTTAGAATGACCCAATTAAGCATCAGGCATTCCCCACCCAATCCTGTAAATCCTGGTGTTTGGAGTCAGTTGAAGAGAGAACCCTGAGGGGCCCACAACTCCGTAGCAGGAGTTGGTACCATCTCTCCAACTTCCAGAGACACCTGAAAGGACAAGAATGCTCAAGGAAGGATGGTGTGGCATGGCGTGGCTGGAACCACTGTGCTAACCCATCTGACACCTCTCCTGGAGAAAAGCTGCCGTGACAGCATCTATTCTTACATTACTCCACCATACAACATAACTTGTATCACCAATAACTTTAAAAGAGTAATAGGAAGAGGGAGTAAGCTTTGATCCTTCCCCTTATTTGAATGAAGAACTGAAATTAACTTCTATTCCCCTCAGAATTTTTTATGAAACTCAGTACATGCAAATACCTAGATTTGCATAATAATAAAAAATTGCTTTTACTTTATTGACATCAATAAGACAAAGCATACAAAATCCAATTCTTTAAATCAACCGTATACAAATGTTGAAAGACTTCAGTAACTTACTCATTTCCTAGACAGTAATTATTCAAGTTTTGACATCTAAACAAACTAAAGCAACACAAGGAGGAGAAATGATAACTTTAGCAGATTGAAAATGAAGATGTATTAATGCAGGCCAAAAAAAAGGATAAAGTTTGAGAGAACCTGCAAAAAGCATCTATGCTTAACACATCTTTTCCTTGAAGATAACAAAAGTAGTAAGACAACCAGAGAATCTGTAGGGTCAGTAAAAAATAAAGGTGAAAAGAAGTACTCAAAGAAAACAAAGGCCACAGCAACATGTCATCAAATATTCTACCAAAGTGCAAAAGGAGTTCCCAAAGTAGAACAGACATACAAACAGGTTCAGGGGTTCACAGAAGAACTTACAAGTAACTTAGTTATTTTTGCTAGTAATAGGCCACAGGCATTGTATTAAGCCAACACCACATGCTTCCAGTCTTGTCAGGCTTTAGCAAGGCTTGGCTTGCCTGCCTGAAGCTCTATTTTGGCTTATTTAGCTGCAACAGGATCTGTCTAGTAATAGAATGACTACTACTCCACTAGTTTTGGATTTTGCTTAGACTTGTACAACTTTGTCACACAAAGTCTACTGTTACATACATTTCTACAACTAGCAGATAGCATTATGACCCTAAATAAAATGCAGTATAGAAAAGCAGAGCCATGCGAGGTGAGCCAAGACATGTGTTAGCACTACTGAAAGCAATGTGATTAGACCATTAAGACTTCATTTAGACTAACAACAAATTCTTGGCTTTGAATGCCTTCTTTGTTTCTGTCTACTCTG